AAATCATTAATAAGGACTTTAGAAAAGTGACCCAAAAATGGCTTTTAGAGTGCGCATGTTTTTCTTTCAAGACTTTCGGTGCCCCTTTCTATTTATCAATTTATATGTGTATACATGTGTGCATGCTCATATATACCCCTTCAAAAGATTGTGCATGTTGTGAACATTAGATAAAAATGACCCCACAATAAACTATTGAGCTTCTATCACTCCAAGGATCAACAATAAGTACTATCAAATTAGAAGGATCCATGTTGAGCCAAGAACCCACAATAAACTATTGAGCTTCTATCACTCGAAAGATCAACAATAAGTATTATCAAGTTAGAAGAATCCAAGTTGAGCCATGGATGGAGAAGAACGAAATATATAATACAACATCATGGTAAAGCTTAATATACTCAAGAGACTACCACGACCCCGACCAAGTCAACCTTCACATTGCAAGCGGGGAATTGTCTGGCACGAATCTATGGATGCGAAAGACCTAAAAACTTCAATATATACTTCTGAAAATTATTTCGAGCGAACAAGTTGCTACATCTCTTTAACAAAAGAGAAAAATGAATAATTGATTTGAAGCACATTTATGAAGACAAGAGTGGAGGACATGATACGAGCCCCTAAAGGTGGAAGAAAAATATCCAATTCGGGAAGCTCAAATCATATCATACAAACATTAAGGCATATCAACTTGAGAGTTGATATCATGACAAGTTGTTTGATTCAAAGGGGCTATGATCAATAATTAACATGTTGCCATGTTGAGTACATAATATTATTCAGGAAAATATCTGAAAGTGCATTTTCACATTCCTAAACCTCATCTATCAAGAATCATTCGTTTCTATCAGGTAACATGTCGTCTAGTTCACTCTACTTCTCACTACAGCAGCAAAAAGCTCTCCCTGGGGTTCCAAAATAAAACTGAGAACTATCTCCAAACCAAGAATTCAATTATGATGGGGCAGCAGCCGATGATTTCATCTTCTTTGGTGGAGGATTACCTCCAGATAACACCACGTAAAAATAGAAGCACAGCATTGCAGCACTGTCACGTAGGAGGCAAAAGAAAAACTCATTCAGAAATAGATAAAGCTTAACTTGTCGAATGTCCAAGAAGAAATGCAATGGCAACATCATAATATAGTACCTTATGACAGCATTAAAGCCAGTTGGGAAGATTTTCCTGCTCTGCAACAATGGTAACAGTTTTCAGTTAATTATAGAATATACACGGTAGAAATTAGAATAATATAATTAAGAAATGTGGAGCATTACCAATGTATAGGTATGAAAATTCTTCCAGAGAAGGAAGGCAGAGAGCACTGCATAGTGAGAAGGAAAATTAATAAATATTATTACTTGAATTATAGAAACTAATTAAATATTGAAGATTCTACATGGATAATTCCTATTTAAAATAAAACCCGACAACTAGTTCTTCAAAATCTAAAATACAGAAAAATCAACGTTTAACTTTTAAAACACATTACAGTCCCCCTTTCGTCCCCTGGTCATCTCTCCAGATGGATCAGAAAGCTTCAAACTTTTGACCCGTTATTGTTTTCTTCATCTTTATGAATACATGGTAGGCTATCATCCTCGGGATACAAAAAAAAAAAAAAAAAAAAAAAAAAAGGTACAATTTTACTTGCTCCATTTAAGTGGACATATATGAGCTTGCTTGAGAGTACAGAAATTACTAAAACCCGAATCCTAGTGGTTTTGAGGATTACAGGAACAAAGTTAGAATTTAATACGTGATTTTCATAATCAGACAGAAGATCACAAAAACCTGCATGGACACTGAGAATTATGTAAAAGTCCAAGATTGGCATATTTGGTTGACACGGAGAGTTAGGTTGAGAGGCAAACTGAATTTATATGCTGCCATGACAGAAGGTATCAAAAATAGTAATGGTCCAAGCGAAGATTAGACGGGCGGTAATTAAATACCAAATTTCTCAAATACACTAAATGAGCTACAGCTATCCATATTTGGCAACAGAACAATCACATAAAAATTAAGTTGAAGACACAATATATATAAATAAAGTCACTCTCCCTCTTAACAACTTAAATTTTTTTATGTGATAGCTCAACATGGTCATGAGCAATAGAAAAAATGAAAGAAAAAAGATCTCCTGCTCTCTAATAGTTTAAAACTTTTTATGTAGTTTTAACAAGATATCACTGCAGATAAAGCTTCTAAGCCTGAGTTCAGATCCCACGTGAGGCATTAGAAGATAAATTGACTTATGCCTCCTTGTGAGGGGCATGATGAAAAAATTAATATAATTATATCCATTCGTCTAACACATTAAGCTTTTCAACGAGGTGGTTCAAAATTGTCCGTGGTACAAGTATGAAAAAATGAAATTGACTGGTGATGTTCTATTTCATTTTGTGAAAATTCAACTTAACCATGAGTAACCATGACGGTTAAGTAACCATGACTCCAGGTAATTATGGTTGAATCCACCTAAATTTGGTGATAAAGACAGTTAATTGAAGAACTCGTACCAGACAAGTATGATCCTATGATATGTTAGCCAAATCAAACAGCATCCAATGATTTATGGATATCCCAAGTGATCTAACAATAGGACCGATAGTGGGAAGTCAGTGCATGCATCTTGTTAGCCATATACTAACTCATTTAGTCCCCATATGAAAAATGAAACAAACTGCCAGTAGAAAGGCCAAGGCAACCCTACTACTTATATCTCACTTGAACTGTACAGTAAGAATTACTACTGGCATTTTGAATTGAAGTATATATGTCCCAGGAAAACCACATCAAACATTCAATTATGTATTGTCCTCGTACAATTAATATGTCAAATACAATCTCTATCCTCACCTAACAAGTGAACTTGTAAGATCTCATTTTAAAAAAATATGATGCACCGGGTGTCACTTAGTCGAACCACAAGGGTTCTACGTGAAAATTATGGATGGTACTAACTAAATGCTTTGGATTAGAATCTAAATGCAAACCATTTAGCTTAAGCCCCTGTTTGACATCCATTTTAATGAGTTATTGAGAAAAAATGAGTTTTGGAATAGTATTTTTTGGAGAACGTGTGGTTAAAAAGTGAGAAAAAATTTTGGGTTTACATGCAAAATATCTTATTGTGTGAATGTGTGGTTGAAAATGAGTTTGAGAAAAAACGAGTTTGATTTAATGGATGTCAAACAAGGGCTGATTTCCCAGTACAAATTTTTGTCTTGAGAAAAGTGAAATGGTGCATATCCAATAGTGAGAAAAAAAAAATATCATCAACTATTAGAAAAAGGCACACCACAACAAGCAATCACAAAAATTAACTAAAAGCCACATTTTTTAATGGATTGGATACGAAGTGAGACATTTACCTGCTTGACCTAGTATGAATGGTGAGCTGGATTTTCCTTGTCTCCACACCTTCAAGCTAACAGTGCTGAGGGCCAATAGGGAAGCCCCAAAGAGAACACCAGTACTTAAAGTAGCAAGGTTTTTGCTGAAAATAAAGCCAACAAGCCCTCCACTCAAAACAAGCCCACCTGCAGTATATCAACGAAAAGGTGTGCTTGAGTAGAAAGATTGTCATCAATTAAATAACAACAAAAATTTAATAAATAAAAATTTACAGTTCAGTCCATTATATGAAGGGAAAAAATGGTGAATCTATCACTCATACAGGAAGACCAGTTTAATGCGTATCAGTTCAGCCCTCCTGCATTTTATGCTTTGAAAAGATGAGGCTTGTCAGTTTGCATTCATACTAGCAAATATTTTAACCATCTGAGCATATACTCTGAATGCAGAAGGCAGAGAGTATAACATATTAGTCTTAAAAAAAAAAAATGGTACTCAATACGAGGTTTTTAAAAATAAAAGATGACGAAAATAAATGCATGCACATTTAAAAGAACACACATATCGAGGTTCATTTTCTACTGAATTTATTTATTTTAATTTCATTATTATTTGTTTAAGGGAGGGTGGAAGGTGGGGGTTTTTGAATGCTGACTTGTTTTGGCGTGGCAGTAGGGTCTAAACTTATCTCAAAAGCATATTTAATGGATATATCAATAGCCTGAACACACTAAGGATGAAAGGCGAGTCCTAGAAAGGCTAACATACAATCATGTCCACTGTCCACATCATAGAGTAGACTTAATGCACAGCCAGTACTTTTGTGTCCACAAAGATAAAAGCATCCTTGATTCAACTAATCAATTCAAATATCAGTTTTTGGTCTATTATCTCACATAAAGGGACCGCAGCAATAGTAAAGTCAAGTTTAATTGATGGCTCAGAGCTAATTTCTTAATGTTATTGATGCGCAAGAAAAATGAAAAATATAAGCAAAAATAGAAGACTGGGTGTTGGAGAGCCCAAAATATCTCCAGTTGTCGCAAATCCTAAGCTTCATTAACCATTGTATCGCGAAAAAATGCCAAATAATAAATTTAAACTGCTCATTGGAAGACAATAAAAAGTATTTCGAATATCATTTTAGAAGTAAAAAAATCCGCATTTGGAAACAAGACACAAAAAAAGACTTCTGGTACGAGGCCAAGGTACAAAGCATGTGACATTTCTTCCAGTTCTTTTTTAATAAAGGAAACACTCACCAAAGGGAATCCCAAGACAAAAATCATGAATCTTCGCTGCCCTTTTCGGTTGACTAACAACTTGTTCTAGCATGCGCTCATTCATATCTTTTCCTGCAACATGTTCTTGTGTAATGGAATGTGATTTTTCCATACGTCCATTAAGTGATTTTGAGTCATCTGCGGTGTAACGTAGAGCAGTCTTAGTCTCTGAGTTGGATACATCTGTGCCATGTCCATCAATGCTCCTGACAACAAATACCTAAAGACAAAGACATCCCAGGTAGACATCACTTTCAAGTGGTTGTAGCTTATGTAATCATTTATACACAACCATGAAGTTGTAACACATATAAATGCATATGCACAAACATACAAAGACAGAATAAGCTTGTAGAAGATTGTTTCTAATTTTACTGGAATGTGATCCTTAGATCTCAAATAAAAAACCCAAAGATAAAAGTCATTTTGCAATGACGGGAAGCATATATGAAAAAACATTGAGGTCCAGTTGGATAGAAGAATTTAAAGACCAAGCGGATTTCTCAAAACACGATTCAAAATAGCCACGTGTTTCCATCGAAACATGAAATCGTGTCCATTTTAGAAGATTTGCAAAGACGTGCATGTGGAATTTCAGATCTAAAAGATTCTCCATAATGAACATTTTGCCCTCGTTTGAGCCTCATTCTTTGGAAAAAAATACATTCTTAAACAGTGTTATGACATCATTTCAATCACACATTCTTCAATTAAATAATATTACATTGAAATCCAAAACTTTTCCTTATTTTTTAATCACACATTTCCACAGTATTAAAAAATGCAATTTTCACCCCAGAAATTGGGCTCAAACAAGGGCTTTATTATCAATCCTAACCAGAAAAAATCACATTGAACCACGAAAACTATAAGCATAAATATGTGATTATAAACATAAAGATAGGTTCTCCTAAAATAAATCTGTAAGGACTCGTCACTCCAAAGACAAGGAGCTCTATTATTTCCAAAGTTATGTACTTTTCTATCATAAATGTTTCAAGATGTTTTCAAAGAGTTTCTGATTTAGATCCTTGAAAACTTTCACAGATTCAAAAATCTAAACCATGATCCAAGTTTTGAACTCAGTGGCCTTAAAAGTGTGCTATGTAAGAATTTTTTCTTGAGGGTCAATAAAAATTGCTAATTTCATTTTACATGTCACTGCCATTTAAGAACAGTAAAAAACACTAATAGCAATTTTAAACTTTTATTGGGATTAGTGTTTCTACAATCAATTCAAATTCAAGGAATTACGAAAACATGTCAAAATCCCCTCTAAAATATAAATCACCTCAAAATTTTTGTACAGCCGATCAATGCTCCTTCATCCGCCAAACCAATAGCAAACAAGTCTTTTACTTTTCCTTTTTCTTTAACTCTTTCAAAGACAGATTTAGAATTAGTGAGGAGGATCATCTGACAACAAATGAGATTTTAAATCATATATAGCATCAGTTAACTCTACAAGTCAAACTCCAACCAAACCCAAATTTTCTTCTATGCATTTTCCAGAAACCCAAAAATAGAATATAGAACTAAAAATTGAAATTTAACACGAATCGCATTCAGCTCAATTGAGCATACATGCCAATAATTAATTTCACAATATAAAATCAAAATTAAAATAAAAAATAATCAAAATATACCAAATTGTCAGCTAAATTCCCGCTAATTTCTCGGTGAACAACTACTCTTAACTAAATTCACGTTCCTGGAAAAAACAAAAACAGAAGGGGAAAAAAATTGTACCTTGTTAGGGCGGGCGTAGGATCTGGTTAGGAGTTGTAGTCTACGGTTAATGGAAAAGAAGCACGACAGCTGCGAAATCGCCGATGACATGATTTTCTTCTTTTGAGCAGATTTTTGCACCTTTTCCCCTCCCTTGGTGATGTAAAAGTGAAATGGAGAAAGAAACTGGAAGCAAATTTGTAATTTGTTGGACAATCCAATAATTAAACAGCGTGGAAAGCACGAGGCTTTGACTTTTTCATTATGTGATTGGACTTGGACTGAAGTTTGGGTAAATTACACTTGACACCCTCCAACTATTAATGCCTAGTAAAAATTCTGTAATCCGAGAAATTATCATATTCATGATAAATGTCACATTAAATGGACTTCCATACTTAAGACATATAATATAGAATAATATCATTTAGTATCAATGTCGCTATCAAAACAATCTAAGTGGCACCTTGTAATATGTTGAAGTAAAGATAAAATATGGCCTATATTGATTATTATATATTTTGGTCTTGAATCTTCTAGATTAACAAAGTTTCATATATATACAAAATTATACTCGAGAGTGAATTATAAAACCAAGATGAAGAGATACATTCACGTTGACAAATATTAGTACAATATAATCATTTATTAATATGACTATGAAGGATTAAAAATGAGAAACGGAAAAATAGTTCAACATTTTAAACGAGGAGTACGATGAATGTTCAAAAAGCAAAATCACATTTATAAAGCAATTTCCACTTCCAACAATCTCCATTACTCTTTAGGACAAAACAACATTAGAAACACTATTATTCATATCAATTTGGTAAACCTAATAGTTGGGGACATAATCTTTATATTTTGGTATATTAGATTAGAGTGATCGGAATTAAAGATAATTAGTGAAAAAACATATGACTTGTTTATCAATTGTGATATTCATCACTTTTCAGTTAAGCGTATCATACACTAAAAAATGTCATGTGCACTATTACTATTCAAGATAAATATATTTAAACGAATAGTAGAATAAAATAGACAATATTTCAATTTTTCTCTTAAACCCGATCCAATATATTTAATGAACCACTAATGACTACCTTGAATTTCTTATGTCCTTATCTTTTCCTCTCCTATAAGGGGCAACTGGAAATGTAGTTTCATGGAAAATATTCATTAAAACACTTGATCTATATAATAGATTTGTTGACCTCATAACTAAAGTTATTTTGGCTAGATCCATTAAAAGTCATTAAATTCATGTAGATTCCAATTGTTTAATGTTTGATATAGGCTTTATTCTTCATGCTTTCTCATGCCTTTGAATTTGCTTGAAATGAAATAGTTTGATCAATGTTTTAGAGTAGAAAAACAGTGATTATTTTAACTTCGACAATCAAGTTAGTATGATCCAAAAAACAAATATTCTAGAATTTTAGAGCATATATATATATTAGGAAAAAGTGTTCATTAACCTATAGTAGAGTAGTGATCAGTGAGTTGAGAAGAAAGTTCACCCGCTCAAGCTTACTTACGATGAAATAAGACGTGACATAACCTAGAAAGTTACAGAATACCAAAGATAGATAATCAGTAGATTGCTAGGTGAGAATGATTGGCTGGACCATTTGAAAAAATAAAAAATAGTAATCTATAGTATTGTAATAATATCGTCAAATTAATTTGTATTTTTAGAGATTTTCTGTTAATATTTGACAGATGTCACAATGTAAGCATTTTATGATTCTCATTGAGTTCACTTTCTTCATACGTCGGCCTAACTTTCAGCCAATAAAAAAAAAACATATTTGTCATTAAAAATGATAATTCCACAATCACATACATGTGGAAGTGTTAGCACCAGGTGCGTGGACTGGACCCCAAACCGCCTGCTAGTTTAGTCCTTATCAAAGAAAAAAATCGGACCAATATGTAATTTATTCACAACAACCGGGGGCTATAAACAAAAACCGGACAGTAACAGCTGATTATTTGTAGTACCTTTTTTCCTAGTCTTGTTTTCTGTGTTTCTCACAAAACACCGTTTTTTGACGTTTCCGTAGTTTCCATTTGTGATCACTTTTTGAGACCTTTTTTTTTTCTCCTTTCCTATTTAATTCCTTCACAATCACCCCTTTTTATGGCCTCAAACAAGAATTTTTCGAATTTTGATCCAGAGTAATCTCTTATATATACATTTTTTTTTCTGTGTTTTTGGTTAGAAAATAACTGGGCGAAAACCCATGTCTGGAACTGCGGTTTCTGTGGATTAATCACGTCTTTCTGGCTGCTATTGGAATCTTGAAGAAAAATCTCAAGTACCTGTTTTTGTTTTGTGATTTTGGTGCTGAATTTGGTCGTTGGTGGCTTGTTTATTATTATTATTATTATTTTGGGTTTTTATGTTCTTGATTAATTAACGTGTATTTTTTTGTTTCCCTTTTTGTTTTAGATTTTTGGGATTTTGACGATGGATAATTGGAGAAGGCAAAAGTGGGATAATCATGGACAGCAACCTCCCAGAAGAAAATCACCACAGTATAAGAAGCCACCCCGTGGTTCGTTTAACATTTTGGTCTTGAATTTTGATTATTTATTTAGTTATTTTTGTCTATCTCTGTTTGCATGTTATAATTTTCAAAATCAGGCACAGCTTGTGAGTTTCTTGAAGGGTTTCTTGTATTGTTTGAAAAGTAATATTCTTGTCTTGTCTTCTTGAAGGTTCTGATATCTAAAATTTGTATATATAATTCGTGCTTTATAAATAGCATTTTTTTTTCTGTGATTGTATGTATCTTGATTTCTTGCTTTCTGTAATTGTATTTTTCCATGTATTTTGGGTGATGAACTTGTGTGTTTTGAATGGCAAGTTTTTCTAGAATCGTATATTTGATTTTTTGCTTTATATGATTGTATTTTTTCATGTCTTATTATGGGTGATGAAGTTGTGTGTTTTGCTTATTTTTTCCTCTATCCACATTTTTTTACTACGAAATTCATAATCCGGTCCCAGCTAGCTTGATCGGTAAAGGAAGATGGTTGGAGGGCTGCAAGTAAAACTTCGTCAAATCTTGTGGAAATGTTAGTCTTACTGCCATATGTGAACTATATGCCCGCACTCCTTTTATTCATCTCAAGTACTTTATGATTAATGGATTACTCTTGAAGATTTTCGTTTTTTGATGCCAATTAACCTGTTGAATATTAAAATTTCATTCAGAAATTTTGAGATAAGATTATTTTCTGAGTTAATTTTGGCATGTCGTAGACTCCTGCATGGCAACTATAAGTTATTGGAAGTAATTTTTCTATTTTATATTGAGAAACTTTTGAGGTGATTTCTTTAACTTTCCCATGATTTGTGAACCGTGTATATATTTCAATGTATTCAAATTAGTAAAATGTGGCAGATAAAGTGTGAAGATGAAAAAGTCATGCTCAAAATGTTTTGTAAAGCACAAATAAACACCCTTTCTTATGTGTTGATAAGCTATTTTGTCTTCGGTGTTATTTCAGTTTATTCCTTGAATGCATTTGTTACTATAAGTTCTTGGATGTAATTTATCTATTTTATATCCAGAAACTTGTGAGATAATATCTTGAAATTTCCCAAAATTATGTGAATCCTGCATTTATTTCAATAGATTCAAATGAGTAAAACGTGGTAGTTAAAGGGCAAACATAAATCATGCTCAGATGCAAAACTTGAATAAATACCCCTTCATTTGCACCAATGACGAGATAATTTGTCTTTGGTGTTATTTTTAGTTTGTTCCATTAATGCATTTGCTAGCGCTATTTGCTGATGCATTGTTGTTTAGTCGTGCTTAGAATATATATTGGTGGCGTATATCCATGTCGTTCATATTTTTGTTCGTCGTTCCATTTTCTTAGTTAGTAGGGCAAGAGTAAATAACAGCAACTTCGTGCAGGCAGTTGGCAGCCGAGAGTCCCTGCATGGGAGAAAGAATTCTGCAAAGTGATAGGTTCACTAGATTGGGAAACATTTTTGCACATGAAGAAATTCATTCATCTATACAATAATGTGCTCGAGTGGGATGACTCTGCAGGTGAGAAGGCATTTCACGATGCCAAGAAACGATTCTGGGCAAAAAAACAGGGCCTCCCCTGTGATGATGCATCATTACCTGATCCTGATCTTTACATTGATGATATAAATTGGAGTTCAGAAATTGATCCTGAGATTCTATTGGAGCTCGAATGCAAACCTGAAGTTCCTAAGGCAGGTGAAGGCCATGAAACCGTCGTAATCTTCGGTGATTCTTTCCTCGCAAACCAAGCATTCTTATCGACTGGCTGGGGTGACAACGAAGAGAATTTTAAAATACCAAAAACTAATGAATCTCCTGCTAAGTATGGAAATCTAGGGGAGCATTACTGGGATGGAACTGCAAATGGATGCGCTGATTATCGCAAAAATACATGGCACGTGAATGATGGCAGTGGAGCTATCAGACATATGGCATCGGAAGATGGTTGGAATCATTTCAATGGTTGTGGTTATAAGAATTTGGAAGACAAGAAAGCAGACAATGTCCAGAGATCATGGGACGTCAACAATTTGGGGAGAGTCAGTGATGCTGGACAATACTTTCCAAGATACAGAACTTCAAGATTTCAAGGCATTCGAGCACCATAAAAACCACCTATGGTGGAAGGACAGAGGTCGAAGGAGTTAATATAGGCATGATTTATTTCATTTCATTCCATTCCATTTCTTTTAATATGCATCTTTTAAGTAGTGTATATAGTACTAAATTCAGCAAAGTCTGCTGTATACATTGAGTTTCTGTAGAGTATATTCTGTACTTAGTTCCCTACAAAATTTTGTAAGATAGTTTTCTGATATTAAGGTATTGTATTTTTAAGTCAGTACTGGTTTCTGTCTATATATAATGAACGTTTTGTTGTCAGTAATTGAATATTCTAGTGTTTGAAGTGGGTATTATAATACCACTCATTTTTAGTTAGACGGGAACAATCAAGTTTTGTACAAATCGAATACTTTGTTCTTGATTTTTGAATGATTTATGCTCAACTAAAGAAAATGCAGATTTATATTTAAAAAACATTTCTTTATTAATATTTTACTCATCATTTTCATTTATTTGATTTCGAACATTCGTTTTATTAATATTTTACTCATCATAAGAATATGCATATTTATGTTTAAAAAATTTATAGTATATCTAATAAAAATAATCAATTTAAGTGATGGAAAGGAAAAAATATAACCAATATTCAATTAAATAAATACAATTCGTAAAATATAAGTTAAATTGGATATAATCAGTTCAAACACATTCTATATAGACAAATAGGAGAAAATGCAAATGTAGGTTCTAATTAATTGAAAATTTGATTGAAAAGTGAAAATTTTTAGAAAAATTATAAATAAATTTTAAAAAAATTAGAAGGGTTAATGTTTTGATAAAAAATGTGAGGGAGAGTGTGAGATAAAGTGAGGGAAAAGAGGGAAAAAATTCAAATTTATTATGATTTTGACCTTGTTTGACGGAGGTTAAAATCAAATTTTTAGTATATTTTAATAAAAGTTACAAATATTCTATGAAATATGTTATCAAAATTAATTGTCAACTTTGATTTAAATTAAAAAAAAATGGAAACTCAGTAAATTAGCACAATTTGATTTTGTTGTTGGAAATTTTACAATGGTGATAAAATAAGATTTGCTCTCCATGTACGTATATATATACACGAAAATGATCTCCTAAACATCGATACTTAGCATATGTTAAGCATTGATGACGTGACACACCATTTAATTGATGAATAAATCATAAATAAGTTCTATGTATTTAATAATTCACCAATTAAATAGCGTACCATGTCACCGGTCCACCGGTTATATATGTATTCAAAACTTTTACGTGGATGAAATTATTTTTATGAATCTATTTCGTATTTCATGGGACGCACCCTCATTTCTGGTTTAAAAACACAACTCGCCGAACTTAAATCTAGACTCAAATCGGCATTCTTCGTTCCAAACCCAAGCATTTTCCTCTCTTCCAGCAGCAATTTTCAATACGCGTGGCCCCGTAGTGTCCGATCTCTTTCACGGTGAATTTAAGGTGATTTTTTTTTCTTGCTGCTTAAATGAGTAATTAAGTACTCAATATCCCAATTTGATTTTAATTGATTTTGTTTTTGGCTGAAATTTATTACTATTATTTGGTTATGATACTAATATTTTGTCAAAGTTTGGATCATTTTGCATACTTAAAAAGTTGTAAATAAGTTTAGGGTTTAGGGTTTATGTTTCAGCCCCCAACATGTTGTTCCATGTCCGTCCCTGTGCATTGTGTGTATGAATGTTAAGTAGGGATTAAGTACTTGTTAGTAATATGTGAGTTTCTAGGGTTTTTGTTATGTTACATGTATTTGTTAGGATTTATTAATTGTTTTGTCGTTTTTGTGTTGTGTTCACATAGGAATTCCTATACTTTCACCAGGAAGCGCGTATTTACTTTTTGAACTCTCATTATTCAAGAATTATGGACGTGGATGAGGAAAATACAGTCTCTGCTTCAGTTGCTGATTCTTCCACTGTTGGGGCTGATGATCAAAATGTTGTTCCAGCTATTGATACAATTTCTCTTCAACCAGTTCAACCCATAGTTGCACCCCCTATCACAACCCCAGCTGTGCCTTCCATCGCTCCATTACCTGCTGTTCATCTTCCAGTCCCTCGGCCATTGGCACCACTCCCTGTTCGCCCTCCAATTGTCAGGCCACCTTTGGCGCAGAATGGAGACCCGAGGACTAGTGACTCTGATTCGGATGAAGATGAGTCGGGATCTGGTCATGCTCCTGCAGGTGAATCTCTGGAATACGAGATCTCAGAAGAGAGCAGAATAGTTAGAGAAAGGCAGGAGAAAGCAATGCAGGAACTTCTGATAAAGCGTCGTGCAGCTGCTTTGGCAGTTCCCACCAATGATGGAGCTGTTCGAGCTCGTCTCCGACGGCTTGGTGAACCTATAACTCTTTTTGGAGAAAAAGAGATGGAGAGACGGGATCGATTGCGGATGCTCATGGCAAAGCTGGACTCTGAGGGCCAGTTGGAGAGGCTGATGAAAGCTCATGAGGATGAAGAAGCCGCTGCCACTGCACCTACTGAGGTGGAAGAAGATATCCAGTATCCCTTTTATACGGAAGGGTCCCAAGCACTTTTAGAGGCCCGCAAAGAGATTGCAAAGTATTCTATTCTGAAGTCAACATTACGGCTCCATCGAGCAAGAAGGAAACAAGATGATCCAGATGAGGATTTGGATGCAGAGATAGATTGGACTCTGAAGCAAGCAGCAAGTCTGGTCCTAGACTGCAGTGAGATTGGCGATGATCGGCCTCTTTCTGGATGCTCATTTTCACATGATGGGAAGATGCTTGCTACTTGGTAATCTCTTTCCCCCCAACTCCCAACTTCCCAAAAGCTTGTATATGTTTTTCTCTTCATGTGATTTAGTGAGTTAGACATGTCAAAAATATGCATAGCAATGCATGTCGCATGATATGGCTGTCATACAGTTGAAGGTGCTTTACACGTGCTGATGGTATGGGCACCTTAAAGGTTTACCGCTTGTTATATATAACAGATTACATAAACTAATATTATTAATTTGTGAATTATGATATCTCTTTCCATTTTTTTTTTATATATTTTTTTATTTTTTTGACTAATCAAGACATACTCGTTTTGTGTTTACTTTAGGATTCAAATAAGGTCCTCAATTTTCATTTTTGAGAGGTCTCCAATTGTGTGGTTTCTCTTACACTTATGGTTCTGTCATAGATATTTCTTTATCCGACTGCAAAAATATGGTATTCAAGTATTTATTATGTTAAAATTATGAACCAGTTAGTTCTTTTTTCCTTGAGATGCCACTGTTGACTTTTCGGAGTTCATATGAGACATGTATGAAGAATTGCTAAGTGCTTGTTTGTGCCCCATTATTCGTGAGTAATGTATTATGAAATAATGGTTGATGTTGAAATGTGTGGTTAAAAAACAAAGAAAATTTTATGATTTACGTGTAATATTATTTTAATAAAGAATGTGTGGTTGAAAATGAGTACTGTAGAAAAAATAATGTGGTAGAATGTGAAAGAATGGAAGACAAGCAAAGCGTAAATGTTCCTTTTTTTACTTTTCTGTTTCTAGTGCTCTAAGTGGAGTTGCAAAGTTATGGAGCGTGCCTGAAGTAAAGAAGGTTTATACATTAAAGGGTCACACTGAACGAGCTACAGATGTTGCATTCTCTCCCACAGGTTACCATTTGGCTACTGCATCTGCTGACCGAACTGCAAGATTATGTAACACAGAAGGGTCTGTTCAGAGAACATTTGAGGGACATTTGGATCGTCTTGCTCGTATTGCCTTCCATCCATCAGGAAAATACTTGGGCACAGCTAGCTATGACAAGACTTGGAGGTTATGGGATGTAGAGACTGGTGAAGAGTTGCTTCTCCAAGAAGGTCACAGCAGGAGTGTATATGGATTATCTTTTCACCGTGATGGCTCTTTAGCAGCTTCCTGTGGACTTGACTCTCTTGCTCGTGTGTGGGACCTAAGGTCTGGGAGAAGTATACTTGCCCTGGAAGGCCATGTTAAGCCAGTAAGACTGTGTGTTGTGAAACTATTTTTTCTTTGCTTTCTAGCTTTGTTATTATACTTTCTGCAGTAAAAGAGGGATTGAGGATGGAATTGATGATTAGGTTGTTGGATTACAAATGATGAATCAATTCTCTTATTATTTTCCTTTCAGGTACTTGGTGTCAGTTTTTCTCCCAATGGCTATCATTTGGCTACTGGTGGTGAAGACAACACTTGCCGCATATGGGATTTGAGGAAGAGAAAATCTTTATACATAATACCTGCTCATTCTAACCTTATATCTCAGGTCAAATTTGAACCTCAAGAGGGATACTTTCTGGTTACTTCTTCATATGATATGACAGCTAAGGTACCCATCTTCTTAATCTATGTTTCTCCACTCTCATTGTGTTTTATATTTGTTGAACTCATGTTTCTACGCATTTCCCTTGTCCCTTTCTATGTCAGGTGTGGTCATCTAGAGATTTTAAGCCTGTAAAGACACTATCTGGTCATGAATCAAAGGTTACGTCACTTGATGTTATTGGAGGTGAGCTTCCCTACCCAAAATCTAATTCTTATGTCATGTAATGAGATTGGTAGAATCCAAAATGTACCTTCATTTTTTCCCCTTTTACGTGGAGGGTGAGAGGAACTCGGTTCTAGGACTGTTGTGTCCATTTAGGTGCTTGGCATTCTATCTTGTAATCTTGCTTTGTCCACATAAGTTATAAATGCTTACCATCCGTATTTAACTGGCTTGGGGTATTTGTCACTGCCACATAGAATTCTATCATTTTGGCTTGATCTACATAACTACTGAGACTTTTGACCCTTATTGAATCTTTCTATCAGTGATGTTTTACATTGCTATGCGTCCAACACTTGGAAGGGATTGGCAAAGTTGGAAAAGTTTATAACTCTTGGGACAAAATAAGGGTCGTGATTAGGCGATGATTTTAAAATTTTGCTCAATAGATTAATAGACTTCATGCTTTTCACCCAATATTTGATACCTTAAAGTTGAACATCTTAGCATTTTCTTGACCATTGTTTTTCCCTGAATTGTGGTTCTGCCAGTGCTGTGTAAGCATAGTTTGCTGTCTCGCCAATTTTGATGTTAAGAGTTCTATGTAATTTATTGCTGTTCATCATTTGTTGCAGATGGACAATGCATTGCAACTGTTTCACATGATCGTACGATCAAGCTTTGGTCAAGCAAAGATGATGAGAAAGAGAAGACAATGGATATTGATTAACAAGACTGCCGCTTGATTGAGGAAGGCTACAAGGTGATTGAACTGCTTTCTTTTTAATAAGCAAGCAACGTTTTGGATCTCCAGGAACGGCCTCAATATGGTAGCATCGCCTGGTAGCTCTAGTTTATTGCGAGATGAATGAACCTCCTGTTTGATAGTCAAAATTGTAACTAGTAATCTTCTCTTACTAAGATTGAATAGTTATGAATTCTTATTTCACAGCCATGGTGTGAACAGAGTATGAACTAATTTAACAACTCTTTTTTCTTATCAGATTCTCATTTTATTTGTCTTATGAACATACTTAAAAAAATTTGGGAGGAAAATATTATTACAGAAATATAAAAATCTGTACCGTTGTCATATGACCAGGACAGGAGATTATCAATCCCTAGCCTATTTATGAACTCATTTATCAATTAATTGATATATCATGTCATTTGTGCTTTAATAATTATTTCTGTTATCACGTATTCATTAAAATTATGCTTAATTATGTTTAATCCCTAACTTTTACACTGAGTTACACTTCTGTCCCCACCTTTTATGATTACATTTTAAACAATTTTACAATCAACTCTTTTCATCTCTACATTTTGGATGGGGCTGGGAAATTAGGAAAAAAAGACTTGGAGGGCTATCGATCTTTTTTTCTTTCTTTTTTAGTTTCTTTTCTTCACTCTATAATTTTATATTTTATATTTTTATTTTTTTATTTTTCAAGGCAATTTCGTCATTTGAAGGTTGATGGTAAAAATATCAAAATGTTTATAAATAGACTAAACATATAATTTAACCTTAAAACTACTTTGTACAATTGTCGCATTATATATTGTGCCTTTTTTCAGGTCGTCCTAGAACTTTTTCTAAAAGCTCGAATTGCAATATATTAAAATTTCATAACAAGGTTGATGTGAGAATTTGTACTAGATCCCACTCGATTTTTTTTGGTTTTAAGAATGCTAATTTTTAGAGTAAACAACGGGAAAATTAATAAATTTCTTATATCAATCCAAAGATCATGAAATTCATATGCAACGGGCCTACATGATTGTGCAAGAAAGATTCATCAAATTCTCTATTAAACACGAAAACAACTTAATCTCAAAATGGGCCCTTGAAGGTGCTTGTGATTCTGCCATTTACGGAACACAAGGCCATATAAACCAAAACAGATTGTCATAAATTAGCTTCAGAATCCAGCTTTGGATATGAAATTAGTCGTCTGGTCACTCCTGAGCCTAAAGCTTGAGAATGAGGCCAATTGGACTATGATCGCTTCCAGTAACATCAGGGAGAATATATGAGTCGTGAACCATGTCTGAAATTGATTCGGAGACGAGGAAATAATCAAGCCGCCACCCTGGTCCAAAACAAAAGATAAGTAAAGGGCAAACAGAAAATTGAAAAAGGGAGTATCAGAGCAGCAGTGCTTGGAGTAAGCATGCTGAGTGTTCGGTAAGCTTAAAAAACGTAAAGTTACTCTTTAATTTACTTTTTCTATCCGATTATCTTACGTCATTTTCACAATAACCAACTTATTTTTAACTTTAACCAATAAAATAAATTGTTTATTTCAAAAATTAATGCTTTGCACGAAATGCAGTGATTCCAGATGAGCACAAGAGAATACTTATGTTCTTTTCGAAATTTGTCTCATGCAAACAGAAAAGAGTAGTTACCATAACCAATCAAACTAGTAGCTTTTAAGCTTACACACAGAAAAGGTAAATTTTTCTTTGATCTACAAGCCTAAAATTTCAAGAGGAAAATCATGACATGCTGTGGTGATGATAGTAATTTCTTCGCCCTCCAGATCCTTTCGTTAAATGAGATTAGCGAAACCTAGCCATTCAGCTCAAAAAAGTAGCCGTTCTTTGTTTAAATCAGTATATGACAAAATCTTATCTTTTTTCGTTTTTCGAGGGCGGGGGAAAGGTCTGGAGAGTAACTCTTAGTATTCACAAAGTGAATTGAAGCAGCAAAAGACGCTACAAGAAGCAAGAGAGAGATACCTCTATTAGTTTTCCGTCCACCGTGCCTGTAGCCCCAATAAGTATAACCCACAACATCAGGGTGCTGTTTCCTAAAGGTATCCACAAAACCCTTGTCTAAAAAGTTTGTTTGAAATGATTTCCTTTCTTCATCCGTAAAACCCGCACTTCTTCTATTACCCTAAAAGGCGACACAATAATAAGAAGAAAATTATCTAAACATTCTTAACAGGGGACAAAAATAAAGCTCCTACTTCAACCAACAGAACTACTAAAAACCTCAGTTCGATATCACTTTTACAACAATAAAAGCACTTAAGCAGCAATGGTTCACCATCCACCGTGTCTAATTGTAGGCCACTCAAACTAAAGCATTACAAGTCTCAAGTATTCAGATACTAAGATATTAACTAAAAGATACGCATTCTTCCTCCTTTCTTTTTGTAGGTTGCATATCCATCATTGAAAAATAGAATGAAATTATATAATGCTAGAATTGGAATTACATACCGCTGGATTGTAGATGTCTATTTCCTGATGAGCACAATTCAAGTCACCAGTCAGAATGACAGGCTTTAATTGTTCTAGATCCTGTCAAGCACAAGAACAGGATGTCCATATAAGTTCCAACATGTAATTATGAGCAACCCCTTTAAAATTCACCAAATATTATAAAACCCGATCTACAGTGAAACAAGACCATAATTTATCCTTGTCCATTGCAAAATTATTTTTCGTTTTTAAGGGATTTAGATCCAAATAATATAAAAGAAGCAATTGTAAAGGTAATGACAAAGTAAAATTATTTTGAAAGATATTTAAATCTAGATATAGTGTTAGAACTTGTAAAACATGCGTGATTTTATGGAGAAATTAACAACTAAGCAAGAACCAATGCACGTAAGGCAAATGAATTGAATATGTCAGTTGGGTTGGCAAGTATATGAAGAAAATAAAGAATCAGCTTAGGAAAATGTAGAAAATGAAGTTAACATATAATTTAGATTAATATGGAGTTTATTATCCATTATTATTAACCAACTTAATAATAACCTGTATATTTATTGACAAACAAAATTGTAATCAACATCTTAATTATGGTCCGAAGAAAAATTATTCCCACTCCAATTTGCTGGAAGTACACCTAATATTTAACTAACCCATTTTTCTAATTTGAATATGAAAATTATCAAGTTCAACATAGAGGGCAAGTAATTGATAGCGTACGTGCATGCGAGGAGTAAGACTTACTTTCATGTAGTTGCTAAGTGAAGGATCCCACTGACTAATTCTGTATGACTAGAAAAGGAATTTTGCTCAGTTTTCTAGGGAGCAAAATGACCAAGGGATGTAGAAAACAAGGCCATAAAATAAGAATGAGAAATCATTTACCAGTCTTCTTAGACCATCACCAGAATTGGGAACATAGCCACTCAACAAATAGAAATTTTCAAATTCCACTGTTACAAGACGTCCTTCACTATCGTGATCTGATATGCCCAGTCCATATCTGACGGAAAGTGGTTTCATCTGCCAGATGAAAAGAAGGGGAATAAGTCCTCCATAAAAAAATGAAGACACTTGCAGGAAGTGCGAAACTGGAACTATCCCTAATGAAACAAGTAAAAACAGAAAAAGTATGTACCCGTGAAATAATAGCTGTACCAGAATAACCTAGCTTCGAGACACTGCATGTCCAAAAGCTATTGTCATAACCTTCTAGGAGACTTTGTTTGATTGTCTCAACATCTTTCTCCTGCTTAAGGAATTGAAAATACAATGATATTAACTCCAAAATAACTTGGAAAGAAACACATGGGCTGTAGGCTCCTGTTGCATCAGTAAGAGTACTCTTGGTGAGATCCAAAGGAATAATTGCCAAGTTGGGACAAGTACATACAAGATATCCTATGTCCAGGATATTGTAATTTCTTCCACATTATGTGATAGGCTTTCCACTAAATTGTTTCTATGCACTATAGAACATATAGGGAATCATAAGGTCTAGCCAACTATGTGGAAAGAGTCATTCAAATGTTCTAATCATCATTATGACCCTAAAGTTAATTTCTAACCATCAAATATTTGCATAATCAAACCTGTTAGCATGCCAAAATTTTCTCACAGGCTTTCATAGATTTCCATGCAAGGATACTAGATACAAGGGACAAGGAGCCTGTGGAGAAGTGTTTCTCTCGTTCTATAGACTATCCTAATGGAAGCAGTGAACTCCAATTACGTTTCTCAAATTTGAAACCAAACTACTTGCCTGGAGTTTAGTCTCTTGCAAGCATAATATATCAAAATTCTCTCTTTGTGCAAGTTGCAAAGCTGAAAAGCTTTCCAACTTCAATAAAGCTCTTAAACCATTGACATTCCAAGACATTAACTTCAAATGTGCTGTATCAGCAGCAAGAGGAGATGGCCTCATAGTTTTGGGATTGTAAGCAATCCACCCTTTTTGCGGCTTCTTGTGAGCAAAAATAGTCCAAGGTTCCTCTACGGCAAGGTCAACACTGTCTGGGGCTTTAAATTTTGCAGAAGTTATTCTCGATGAAACTTTTCTCTTTGCCTGAATGGATGCTTTATCTGATTTCATCATGTGCCATTTATTCATTTGAGATAGTTTAGTAAATAAGGTAAGAGTAATAGTAGTAATTCCAGTCAGGAAACGTCAATGGCAGAGATAAACCCAAAAAAAAAAAAAAAGTAAAAAAAAATAAAACACCTTCCACATCAATGGATTCAATCTTCAGATCCTGCTCTGTCATATTCTGTGAAGTTTTTATGTTTATGTCAACGGTGTCAGGAGATTGCTTTACACTTCTCTTTATCCTTTTAGTTTCAGAAACCTCCAAATCATCATCTGTAATTTGGACAAGCTTACTGGTTGATAACACTTTAGATTTTCTTTTTGAGTTGTTTTTAGTGATATTTGGCTCATCTTTGGCAATCACTTGATTGCTTCTATCCAAAGAACCTTCACCTGCATTTAAAAGGTAAATTCTTTAGCACTGCATGACACTTTTCAGATGGTAGAAAACCTAGGTAAAAAATAGAACTTAAAATGAGTTTCACTATACGTAGTGGCATTCCACATCAACAACGTCATAGGAAAAGGATACCATCTATTTGGCTGTTCAAAGAACTCTTCAAGGCAGAGACGAGTTCCTGCTTAGTACCTTTAGCAGGTATCCCCATATTCCTACAAATTCAAAAAATAACAATAAAGCAAGGCATGCTGCTGCAAATTACTGGATAGTGTAATACACGAGTAGAAAAACATGACATCTGTCCTGCAGGACAAAGGAACCAATGTGGGAATAAAGCAATCAATTGGTGCAAAGATACCAAATATCAGTATCACACACAAATAGATCCCAGCAGCCACCTTAGCAGGAACCACAAAAGCTCCAGGCCCTTTTATCTGTCACGATGAGCATACAGGTCCAGTTCTATGTTTTTTAAATTCTAATAACAGTAAGGCCTAAGGAAATGAACTGTGATATGAATTTTATTAGCAGGAAATCATCTTAGATATTGGTAGAAAAACCTGTTAAATGAATACATTCACAAGTCTTTTTAAATTCAAGAAGTAAAATTATTTAGTAGTACACATTACAGATAGTTTTTCAGACCATCTCAGTACCGTTCTGTAAGTATATTTCTTATCACTCTATACATCAGATTGCCTGACCCGAGTTGTCTATATTTGGGTAAAAATCTCAAGATTACTTCCCTGATATCCAAAAAAAGAACCGAACACATATTGCAGAAAATTCAAATTTCTGCCCCATTTGAACACTCAAACAACCATATAATAGTGGAAAAACAAATTAAATACATTCTAGCCAGAAGAACAGAACATTTACCTCAATTTCGATCTCAGCTGTTGAACTGTCATTTTCTCTATGTTCTTGGAATCATCCCCAAGAAGCTCGCTTTCCTTGACAATGTCCTATATTCCAAGGAAACCCATTATGCACAATACAATAATTACTTACAACCACACTAACAAACGCAACAACGCCAAAAAGAAAAAGTAAAATAAGTGACTTTGGAAACAGTCTTTCGGGATTTTGATGCATAAATACTTAAATGATCACTCACAGCTGATTGTAAGGAAATCGAACGGGTTCTTTTAGAACCCATTAATTCTAATTTCACAGAAATCGGACCTTCAAATTTGAGGCTCCTATAATTTACTGCAAAAAAGCTACAAAAACTTAATGTAGAGGAAACCAGAGTTAAGAATTAAATCTAAACAATAAGATTATCATTGAATTTAGTGTGTACCTCCTGAAAGTTAAATTGTAGAACCCTAATTTGAGAATCTGAATCATTGAAAGTCGGAAACATAAGTAGCGTAGGTTAAAGCGTCAGCAGGGTGGCTTCAGTTAGCAGTGAAATTGTACCGCCAAAATATGTGACGGGCAGAGCTGACCGATGTCGCCACGTGCCTTTGTTACGTGAAGTGTCGGGCTTATTCCCCTTAATCTCCTATTAATCAAAAGCAAAAAATAAATAAATAAATAAATAAATAAATAAAAATAATTAATTAATTAATTTTAACTTTACCTTTCCCATTTTTTGCTTTTTTAAAATACAATAAAAAGTAAATATAAAAGAATTCTATTTATTATTCGATTCTTGTTGAGAATCTCGATCACTAACTTAGCCTATCTTTTATTAAAAAAAATAAAAAAATTACTCTATTATTTTTTCTTATTTGAGTCAAGCATTTCAATTTGATAATCGTGGTGAGAGACTGTAAGAAGGTGAAATTAGAAGAGGACAATTGCCCAATAATGACATTAGAAAAATAATACTCCCAAGATATTTGGTTGAAGGTATAAAAGTCACATGTAAGTATCATAATATTGCATTTTCATGTCAAAAATTAAATAATCAATAAAATTTATTCTTTAATTAAACTTTTAAAACTAGATAATTAATCATTTAGAAGCCATACCGATTAAAAGTTAATTATAAGTAGCTTAAAAGCTGTTTGGTTTCTCCGATTTGATTCTTGCTAGACTTGATTTGTGTTTCTAATTCATCGAGCTCATCACATTTTCATTTTTTATACATAAAAATAGTGTAGAAGGATAAATACGAAAATTTAATACAATAAGTATCATATTTTTTATGCTCCGAAAATAAGAAATATATTGTATTACAATAAAAAATGATGTTATTTTTAAGTTTATTATCGGGACATACTGTTGTGATATTTGTCAGGTTTATAATATTTAAAACTAACAAACATATAAATAAAGTGAAAAAATATAAAGTAAACCGAAAAAGGGACAATAATCTTAAAAAGGAAATACAGTAAATGGATGGATTCCCTTGTTTCTCAAGGGCAACAGTGATGGCTTGGCAATGAGCTAATGGAAACCCAAAACAAGCAGCTCATGTACAAAAGAATGTTTTATACCAACAACTTTAAAAATAGAAACTGGTTGAACGACATTTTATGCCCGTCTAGTATTAATGTGAGTCGCAATAAAAAAGTCAATATTTCCGTTTAACACAGCATTTATATCAAGAAATTGGGTACCCGTTTTTGCATCTTCTACCATTTTGGTGGGTTGAAACGCATACCTTCGAGCCTCGTGACTCCACGTATCAACCAGGTCATCTTTCTTTATGTTACTCATATCAGATGTACATTAATCCCTCAAAATCACGAGAAGTTTAGTTTTAAAGCAGTTAAGGGCCTTCTTATTCGCAACACGACTCCTTTCACCTACAAAGGTAACAGTCTTTTTCATTGGTCTTTCTTTCTCCTACTCGTCTTCTCTTATTGATTGTAGAACATTTTGAAAATGTAGAATAGAAAAAATGCACATTTTTAACAAAAATTGGTAATCTTTTCGTCTCTTTTTGACATTTTTTATTTTAGAACAAATATGCAAATGCAATAGCTGATGGGCTCGAGTTGTGTATTATTTTGGTAAGGAAATACATATCAACGTCAACCATGATAATGAAGCCTTTTATCTATGACAGCAGCAAAAGCTACAAGATGATTTCTCAAAAACAACAATAAGGAAATTTCTAAAGGTACTTGTTGGTGCAAATTTCCTTATTCGTTTACTTACGCATATTTTTCATTTTTCTCGAGGCACTTTATAATTCCCATCACAAATCAGAGACTCTGGGTATGTTTGTGCAACAGTGTGTGCATATTTGGTGGCTTTGCCGTATGTGTGGAGTCCAAATTTGTATATTTATCAAAGAAACTGAGCCTGGTAGATGAATCAGAACTATATTACTACAAAAGCAAGAAAAATAATGATATGAGCTTAACCGAAACTATAACTATCCCAAGCAAAATTCTCACATGTTGATTGGACTTCTACACCAGTTGGAATATGCTAAATGAAAGAAATCTTGCCCGGCTTCTTGGAAGACGATGGGCAGGAGACAAGTAGATCCTCGTCATCAATTAATAGTCCGGGTGATGATTCAAGGAACAAAGGAATCACATCCACACCCGCTAAGCTAGCCTACAACGTATTAGCCATAGTGATGCAACTATAGTATATAATACGGGCTTTCATATCAAGAGTTTGAGGGTCAATAACCAATTCTAAAACTGAACAAGATATTTGAAGATGCGGGGTATAGAACTGAGAGCCAAACTCACTAGTCAAAATGATAAACACTGCATGCACGTGTTTGGCTTAGCCTAAAAATTTCATTGAAAAATAAATAAGTAGGTTATAAAATAAAATTAAAGATTTTGGTTGGTCAAAGTTGGAATAAGCTGCACCTACTTTGAAAATAATTCCCACCTTACTGCCCAGATAACTTTTTTTTTTTTTAGTTCTAAGTAAGAAAACTGCATTAAATAAGTTTGGAAACAAAACTTTACTTAGAAGTAAGCTTATCAAACACGCATAGATTCTTGTGGTTTTTTTGCCACCATATAATAGCCGCTTCTTGTTCTGATATTTTAGCAACACTATAAGTTCTCAAACCAAGATATGCCTAGCTATAACTTGTGGAAATTCCGTGCACAAATCAATATGCAGTATGTCATAAGTTTTTCCTTATTATAAATATCAATGTATTTATATGTTGACAAAGCTGGTGAAGAATGTTCACATCTAATGTAATCATGCATCTTATTCTTATTATTCGTTTACTTACGCATATTTTTCATTTTTCTCGAGGCACTTTATAATTCCCATCACAAATCAGAGACTCTGGGTATGTTTGTGCAACAGTGTGTGCATATTTGGTGGCTTTGCCGTATGTGTGGAGTCCAAATTTGTATATTTATCAAAGAAACTGAGCCTGGTAGATGAATCAGAACTATATTACTACAAAAGCAAGAAAAATAATGATATGAGCTTAACCGAAACTATAACTATCCCAAGCAAAATTCTCACATGTTGATTGGACTTCTACACCAGTTGGAATATGCTAAATGAAAGAAATCTTGCCCGGCTTCTTGGAAGACGATGGGCAGGAGACAAGTAGATCCTCGTCATCAATTAATAGTCCGGGTGATGATTCAAGGAACAAAGGAATCACATCCACACCCGCTAAGCTAGCCTACAACGTATTAGCCATAGTGATGCAACTATAGTATATAATACGGGCTTTCATATCAAGAGTTTGAGGGTCAATAACCAATTCTAAAACTGAACAAGATATTTGAAGATGCGGGGTATAGAACTGAGAGCCAAACTCACTAGTCAAAATGATAAACACTGCATGCACGTGTTTGGCTTAGCCTAAAAATTTCATTGAAAAATAAATAAGTAGGTTATAAAATAAAATTAAAGATTTTGGTTGGTCAAAGTTGGAATAAGCTGCACCTACTTTGAAAATAATTCCCACCTTACTGCCCAGATAACTTTTTTTTTTTTTAGTTCTAAGTAAGAAAACTGCATTAAATAAGTTTGGAAACAAAACTTTACTTAGAAGTAAGCTTACCAAACACGCATAGATTCTTGTGGTTTTTTTGCCACCATATAATAGCCGCTTCTTGTTCTGATATTTTAGCAACACTATAAGTTCTCAAACCAAGATATGCCTGGCTATAACTTGTGGAAATTCCGTACACAAATCAATATGCAGTATGTCATAAGTTTTTCCTTATTATAAATATCAATGTATTTATATGTTGACAAATCTGGTGAAGAATGTTCACATCTAATGTAATCATGCATCTTATTCTTATCTAAGGTATTAGTATACCAAATTTTTCATGAAACTGAAAAACCTAATTGATTGTTCCTTACAGTATCTTTCGCCTGTCCTTAATTTTTGATAACCACTATGTCAAAGCCTATTCTAGTACCCTATTTTCCATTAGAAATTTGCCCAACATTACAATAAATTAATTTTCATTAACCATGATATTATGTATAATAGTGTTCTTCTATTGCAACTATTCAAACGTGATGTGGTCATGGTCAGATTTCCTGTTGTTCACTAAATGATCCTAGAGATTGTAAGTCATTTTTCATGAGCACATAACATTCATCAATTCTTCCAAAAGATAGCAATGACCTGAAAAATGGCAAAAAAGGATTCATGTCCCATGTTATAGGGAATAAGGTTAGGTTTATTATTGTTTTAAATAACATCTACCAAATAGATAATACAGAAATTATCAATAAAAATACGAAAGTGTCATTTCTTTTGCAATCAATTTACAGTAAAAAGTTCATCACAATTATGAAATTTCTAGGTCCTTTGTAATAGTAATGGAAATTCTTACCCCAGGGTAACTAAATTCACTCTTATGATTTCCAATTATTCGGTGAACACCTCTTTCCCTGATAGATAGCCATAAGCATATTTGAATTCGAATTCAATTGTTGCTGACTTGATACCTCCATTCTTTGCAGGACATCTCTCAACTAACCTCACTGCATGACCTTGCTTTTCAGCTCATTTCATGTACATTCTAGTGAGTTGTCTGGCCCATGTTTGAATAAAATTTACATCAAGATCTTAATGGAGAGGACCCAGTTCTGTTAAAAAAAAAAAATTACAACTTACTACTAATGAGATGAAAGTACACCTTTTCCAAAAATATCAAGTACCTTATATCCTTTAGTACATTAATGGAGGAAATGGTCCTTGCAAGGCTAGAGATGAAGAAGCTGATCCAAGTAGCCAACTATACTGAAAGTCTACTATGGTTTAGAGGTTTGTTTCAAACTTACTCATACAATGAATATACGAATAATGCAAAAAAATTAAAAAGAAAAAAGAAAAAAAGGAACACATCATAGCACATCAAAATAGGTTTATCCAATGAAAAAGCAATGAATTAGTTACCAATTTGAAATAATTGCAACTATTCATTAGCTGAAACACCAAAACAATTGATAAAAACATAAAGCCAGATTTAAAAAGAAGATAAAAGGAACTACGATTACCAGTAATGAATCATAGACAATCACATTGACCATGTAAGAAGGCTCAAAGAATGGATTAAATCGAGTTATTCATGTATGTAGTAGAAACTCTCTAGAAAGTGCTCCTGGACAGTCCTATTCTTGAACCTACAAGCAAATCAATAAAAGATTTGTTTTAATTAATAGCTTATGGCTACAAAGTAAAACTTTAGAGAGTCAAGGTTAAAAGCAGATTGTAGAATAATAAATATGTTTTGCTAAGTTAAATCATCCCTCACTGATGAGTTATAAAGGGCATTATATTTAAAAGAACAGTGACTCTACAGAAAAGCATAAAGTCTCAAACCACGAACCTCTGAGTAAACATCTCCACATCTAGTTTCAATTTTGAGAATTGTCTTCAGAAGTTTAAGAAGATTTGTGGCCAATAGAAAGTAGACCCCATGAGAGTTCTTTTGTTTTGGTATGGATATTTTTCTCAAGCTTAACTTACAAGTCACCTCAAGGTTTTTTGATGCATTTTTCAAATTGATCATTTGTACTTTGAAAAGGGGGAAATAAATTCAAACTTGAACCTTAAGCCCCCGTTTGATTCCCATTCTTATAAAAATGAGAATGAAAAATAAAGTCGTTATGAGACCCACACTAGAGAGAGGAAGTGAAATATAGTGGCTTCATGTGATGGATAACGGTTGTATTTTTTTTTTTTTTTGGCCAAAGAATGGGAAACAAATGGGGCCTCAGTGTTTTTTTTTTTAATTTGTTATTTCATTTTTTTAGAACATGGATTAAAAAGGAAAAAAATAAATAAATTCAAATTTGAACCTTATTTGGTCCGTTTGGTAGTGATTATGAGAATAGTTTTTTTAATCGTTAAAGAGAAAAGTGATTTCACTTGTGAAAGAAGATGTAAAAAATGACGGCTGATTTAGGGAAGTAATGGTCAAAAAATTGAACTTTTGGGGTGAAAAATCAGAAACAAACGAGGTTAATGTTAATTTATTATATTTTGTATATTGATTCGAAAATTTTTGATATCATATCACATGTAAAAATATCTTAATAAAATGATGTAAATTATACTAAGAAATTTATTGTGAAAAACAATAAACAATAATAAAATAATAGAAAAACTTTAAAGAAAAAACGAGTTGTGCGTCTCTTTTTGAGAAGCTCGTTAAATTATTTTCAATGTTCAAACTATTTTTATTTGGACTATTTGATATGTCTACAATATAGCTCTTGAAAGAGCTTTAAGATGATATAGACGATTTATGAATTTGATTGGCATATGATGGTAAGCAAAATTTTAAAGTTTGCATGTTATCGAAATTTTCGAAATACTAGTTTGTAACGACTATTTGACGCGTCGTAATTGATGCTATGAATTGACTGTTTCCTGCGCCGTTAACAATGTAAGAACTAGGCCGTGAGCATTTCGAAATGGTATTAAAAATGTAATATTTCGATTTTGTTTGACATTTCATAATGACCCTGAAAATTGAGACAAAAATGAATCATTTATATACAAAGGATGGGAGATAAAGGCGGGGCGGGTGTGGCGTGGGAAAAGAAGGAATGGGTGGATAAAAAGTTTAAAGGGTGGGGTCGGGTGTAGGAGGAAAAATAAAAAGTTAAAAGACAACCAAAGACCCTGCAATGTGGCACAGAACAATCCTGTTGATATCTAGTGGAGCCAATTTTAAAAGGTGAGAGCATGTTTGGTAGAAAAGAAATTGTTTATTTACAACGTGAGGCCTACAAAATATGGGCACCAAAATCTACCCAAGTGTGAAAATTTCCCCAAATGGTTCAATGTGAAAATTGTTACGAATTAAATTATAAGAAATTTTTAAAATTAAAAATTTGATTCCCTTTGATTATACAAGAATATGTAAAGCTGAGCATGTCTTGAAGTATGAGAGATCATTCTTTTACTGATCGCTCAATTAAAATTTATTATTTTTTCTAAATTTATGCACGACCTAATAGACTCCATTTAACATGGCATTGATGTCAAAGTAGATTAAACCGGAAGAATTAATGATTTTAGCAAAATAAATAGATATCATATATTTTCTAAAACGTGCTGAAAATAGCAAACTTTTGCAACTACAGAGCTTGTATGGAGATCATTGATTTAGGAAGTCTTGTAGTGAGGAAAAACGGCAAAATACGTCTGTACCGTAGTAAGGGCAATGATGAACATTGCACCCATAAAAGCCAAGAAAGCCCAATGACTTCTAAAATGGTCGTGTATCCATTCAGCCATCCAGACTTGTGCTTTACTCTGGCAATGTTTCTCAATCTGCGTCCGAACATCTCCATATACATCACCATCAAATGCCAAATTATTAGATATCTCATTAAAGAGTCGTGCCAATTCTTCGTCACTGCCTAAATTGTTGAGAAGAATTTTTCTTTTCCGGAGCTCTTTAACATCATCGACATGATCAATGAGTGAATCCATCAGGCAAATGTATGACATAATGCGATAATCATAAGGGCCATTGAGAGACGTTTCATAAGCCGCCAAGTTTGATAAAGATTTTGTTGAATCTTCCACCACGATTGGACTAAGTGTAAGAGTACCAGAAATAAGATGAGATTTGAACTTTACATCAGTAAAAGGGTCAGTGTGACTTGGTCTGAAATGAATTCCTGCTGATTTAAGCTCCGTTACTGAACGATACGAATACCATTCGACAAAATTCTCCTTGTTTTTGTCTTCAGGAGATGATTCGACGAGCCATTCCGGAAGTAGATGTAGAAGGCGTTTGAAACATTTCTTCTCGTTTTTGTCTTCAGGAGATGGCTCGATGAGCTTGTTTTTGTCTTCAGGAGATGATCCGATGAGCCATTCCCGAAGTAGATGTAGAAGGCGTTTGAAACATTTCTTCTCGTTTTTGTCTTCAGGAGATGACCAGATGAGCCGTTCCCGAAATAGATATAGAAGGTGAGGTGCTTCCGTATCTATTTCCAATTTCTCCTTTTCCTGAGGTGACATTATGTGGGCCGTCTGAAGGAAATCCTGAATCAACTCTCTCCCAATTTCATCTTCGAACATGGAATCCATCAAAACTTTTAGTACTAGTAAAGGAATTTGATTCTCTAGCAAGAACAAGTCATACCTCACAATAACAAGCAGTTGGTGACCCGAAGGCCGCAGTAGGTCTTCTTCAGTTAGATTTCTTCTAGTTACAAATAAGATAATTTGAAGCACAAAGCAAGCATCAAGAAACATAATTTTGTTGAACGATCTATCATCATAGTTTTCAGTCGAGCCTTTCTTATAGCATTTGCGGGCACTTTTACCCACCTTTGCCACCTCCTCGTATAAACGTTCGAGGGATACTTGATGACTACTATGGTCATGACACAATTTTTGCGCAATTGCAATTTTTAGCTGCTCGAATTCTTCGAGCCCTGGCTGTCCATGATGATAAGGGCCTATCGAAACTAGAAGAGGTTCATAACATTTTTTGTTGGATTCTATGTCACGCAGCAGTGATGGAACCCTTTGTATTTGGGGTTTGTCTGTTGTGTCGTGAACATAATTCTCTACAAAATTCAGCCACTCATCCTTGGATTTGGATATGCTGCTGCTTGACTCTTGTGATTTTGGATCAGTTTGAGTGATTTCAGCACTTTGGTTATCTCCTTTGGTTCCAACCGTTGTCATTCCCTGGATGTTAGCATAAAATTGCATAGACATATTTATTATCTATTAGCAGCATGTTTGATAAAATATCAACTTTTTAACGAGTCAAATTTCAATTTTAAAGACACATTTCGTAGAACCCACAATTTTAATATTTTCAACCATACATTTTATAACGGCAGGCATAGGCTCTGAAATATGCGATTCTTTGTAACGACATAAAATTTGTGTCCGAACTGTTATATTATATGTATTATTTGCTTTGGAGAGCATATGCCCTCTTATCCATCACGGATTTTGATTGCGTTACTTAGGATTCACACCTCATTGGTACTAATTTGTAACAATCCTAGCTTGATTTTTTGTCACATCCCCAAGACCTATTTTGAGTTCAAATCTTGGAGGAATCAACCAAAAAAATAAATAAATAAAAAATAAAAAAAGAAAGGGAGAAGACTTTTGTACCTTAATTTTGCTTTATTAAGTCGGTCTACTTTCTAAATTCGTCAAAATACAATTTTATATTATCAAAATTGTCAGGAAAATAATTATGGATCTTATTTTTCTTAATCAAGGCTGTAAGCTGACTTCAAAAATTGTTAAATCATAAATCTGTTTGGTGGATATTAAAACTAGATTTTGTGTAATGTTATTCAGTGCTAGTAGCAACCCCCCCAACCCCACATCACTGAGTGAATCCATTAACCAAATTATCAAAAACCAATTATTACTTGTTCTGCATACATGCAAATAATCTGAAATTTCTTGAACGCTAGAAAATTCAAGAATTTAACGTACTGCTCTTTTCTGCGGCTGCTTGTGCGTTTACAAGTAATTGAGCACACAAACTCCTGAAATAAAAAATTAGATTTCATTTAAAGCTGACATAGACAAAACCAAAAAATTCATTTAAGTTAGAATAATAGATTTTATTTGACATTATTCTTGTCTAATTAAATAAATTTACATAAAGATAAAAATATAGGATTTTTTAATAAATATATAAAAATGGTATATGAAAATAGCAGCTCTCTATGAAATTTAGCAAATAAAAATCATCGTAATCCAGATGTCAACAAAAGGCATTTTGCAAAATAACAACCAAAAAAATTGAAATAATATGTTAATTAAAGACCGAGTCAACAAATTGTACCAACTAGAAAAGTCTAGTTTCTCTCTCTCGTTCATCTAACTATTGCTGAACACGTTAAGAGAGATGGAATGAATCACTTCTTGGGGTGAGCAAACACAATATTTATTAATGGAAAAAGCTATTTGTACATCATGCTATACAATGTGGTATACAACCCCCTCACATGTTGAGGGGTCCCACATGAATATTAAATTTGTGGGCCCCCTCATTGTGAGGGACTGTAAGTGTTGTACACTAAGCAGCTCTCATTTATTAATAGGCCGCTGGTATCCAAGCCTATAAGACTCAGTGACCGAACCTTAGGCATGAAAGTTTACCAGAACCAGCCCTCTGATTGACCACCTAAAGCCCCAAATTAAGAATTGTTTGGGAGCTCACACACTTAACTTAGGTACCTCGTAGTTCATACAGCACTTAAAATGAGTGATTGAGTTTTTAATTTATTTTAAAATGGCTTCGTGGTTCAGATAACCTCAAACATGCTTGTTAAAAAGTGAAATTTAGATTTAAATTCTCAATCGTCAATTATTTTTAACTCATAGTACTCATACAACGATTTGTATAACAGAAAAATATATATTGAATATAACAAGTAATTATTTATTTATTGTAAATATTATGTATTTTTTCCAATAATCTTAAAACACATGTATTTCCAATAGATTCCACAATCTCTCCCAAACAAACGCTAACATTACCTCAAATCAATCATTGTACATACGTCATTACGTTGCGATTGCTGTACAATCGTTGTTACTGTGTATAATAGCCGAGAAAGGAGAAGCACAAATGAGCTTGATTCAAAAAAAAAAAAAGCTCGAGTTAACTCTGCTCCAAGTTTGTTCGTACGAACCAAAACTCGAGCCAAGCCTCAAAAACAAAATTTGGTTTGAGCCTGGACCAGCTCGAAAACCTCAAGAGCTGAAATACGAGCCAGCTTAGGGATGACAACGGTTCGGTTTCGGTTCGGTTCGGCCAAAACCATTATCGAACCATCAAATTTTTTGCCATACTATAACCGCACCATAACCATGTAAATTGGTTCGGTTCGATTTGTATCTCGGTTCGACTCGATTCGATTCGATTCGGTTAATAATCACGAAAATAAATTATTTTTATAGGTCCATCCGTCAAATTGATATAAAACAATTTATGAAAAGAGCGTCAGTGAAAATAAAAACACAATATTCCAAACGAAAATGCAAACATTATCCCAAATTCTATGTTAGGACCTTCCTCTTGCTGCTCACGCTGATTCCCGTGCTCAGTTAACCATTAAAACCGAGTTCAACATCAAAACTGGAAGAACCCATACCGCCGGCTACTTCTTCTTCCTATGGTTGCTTTCTTCTCTTGCTTGGTTGATTCAATCCACACACTTAGGATGGATACCACTCAGGTAAGGTTCACAAAGACTCAAGCAGTTTGGGTGGAGAAGAAATTACGAAGAAGATGAAGGCATAAGACACGGCTGGACACGGCTTGGACACGGCAGTTTCTTCTTCCTCACGGCTTCAATTTTGGACGGTACCAACAAAGGCAAAGACACCAATATATATAGTAAGTCAAGTGGCCAACATAAGGTAAGTCGGGATATGGTAAGTAGGCTCGACTAGGGTTAACTTCCAATGGAAGAAATCAACAAGCCACAAAGAATATTAGCCGTCCAATAGGTAAGGCAACGTTCGGTCGGTTCATCCATTATTCGATGTTGAATTATCGTTCAGTCATTTATGTCGACTGAAAAAATTGGTTCTCATCATCGCCCGGGGGTCGTTTGACAACATAATGTCTAACATTCTAATTGCAAAATACAAATTTAACAAACAATAATATGAATATAACAATACTAAACTTTTCCTTCATTCTTGATTCTTGTGCAGTGTATTTACTTGATTCATGCTCAATAATTTAAAAGTTTCAACCTTAATTTATATTCAATCTTCATTCTTCCCCACAACTTTTACTAGCATAGGTCGGCCCTCAAAATTGATTTCTATATAGTAAATAAGAAATGTAAGCAGAGAATACAATGATACTACCTAATTCAGAATAGTTTTAACTAAAATTTAAATAAAAAGATATTCCTCTTCGTCAACTTCCCCCTCGCTAAACCTTACTATCCTAATAAAAGAATTTTTTAAGCGAGTAATCGGTTCGATTTAGGTTCGACGGCATAAATACTATACCCGCACCACCACGAATCGGTTCATTAAAATCAAATATTATATCCATCCCATTGCACCATGGGTTCAGTTTTTTTCGCCCTATTCGATTCAGTTAATCGCAATTTTTGATTTTAACGGTTCAAATTGCCATCCCTAAGCCAGCTCGTGAAGGTTGCTTTATTGCAGGTAAATAACTAGTAAATATTAGCAATTAAGAATCATGGGATGTGCAAAGGTCCTGTACGCTGCTAGGGGAACTAGATGTCCCGCTAGCAATGATTGAATAATCCAGCAATTAATTAAGGGCCATGCTAGATGGACAAGGGCACGTCAGCCTTGTCCGTCTAGGGCGTCAGGATAGGCACCTTGCCTTTACGGGGTGCCAATACACCAATTAATTAGCCTGAAAAGGTCGTTTAGTTTCACGTGTACCTAGAAAGTGGTAACGTGTAAAGATTTTGATGACAAATGAACTTGCAACGCGGTCACCAATATTCGTCATCACAACTATAGGTGGGCCATTACGTACATTATCTTTCATATTGAAGAATTTATGCAAATAAAGTAGAATTTTGACGGATAATTGTTGAATATATGAGATAACAAAAATCATATTAGATTTAGAACTTGACAAGAAATTTGAAAAACTTTATTTTTATATCCAATTCACCCTTGAAAAATAACCTATGATTATTCAATGCAACAAAAGATTAGATAACATGCAATAATGATTAGTTGTAAAATGTGTCTATTTTAACAATTAGATATAATTAGAAAAAAATATATAAGGTAGAGATAAATGTAACAAACAGGAACAATATTTAAGAAAATCCCTTAGGTGAGGTGGAGTGGGGGTACCTTTTATTTGATCGAGGATAGGCAGCAAACTTATGTTTGAGTAATAAGTTAAACAATGTTTCTACATATGAAACATTTTCTTGTATTTATACTTGTCATAGAAAGTGAATATCTTAGACAAACTTAATTTTGTAGAATCACTTTAGAAAACTTCCTAATTAATTTTCAGCAAGTTATAAGCAAAGAATAATAGCATTATGCTGTTCTTTAAATTATTTTCCTTTTTTTTTCCCCTTCACTTCTCCATTTTAAGTGCGTAAATGAATAGTAAAATTGTATATATTTAATTAAGATAAATTGAGAAGTCGAGCGAGATTACAAGCTTCGAGCAATACTTTTAGAGTTTGGTTGAGAAATTATTTTTGAAAATCCTTATTTTTCAAAAGTATTTTCAATCACATATTTTATAGGACTTATAATTTGAATTTCTTATAAAAATTATTTTTACTTGAAAATTTTTTCTCCCAAACAAGTTTTTAATTTGACCCCAAACAAACAGAACATAAACTACAAATAGTATGATATGTACAAACTTAAGATACATCAATTTGGTAACTTGCTAAATAGATTTCAGGAAAAAAAAAATTACAACATATGGAAAATCGTCCAACAAGGGGCTAAACTTAGAGTCTGAGTGAGCAAAATAGTTCCGTTACATATATTGTCTAAAAGAATTATAGAATTGATTTCAAAAGAGCTTAGTACAATATTAAAGTTCGACTTGAAAAAGCAAAAATATTGAGGTGTATGTCACAAGTATATTCTCGTTCCGAAAGATCTCTCCTTAAATTTATTTTAATTTCACCATGTAACAATTTGGTTACAAATCTTGTGTTCATTATAATGGACATCATATTATATACTCTTTTACATGTTTGGTAAGGTAGAAAATATAATAT